ATCCTTCCGCCTCAGCCTTCCAAGTAGCCAGAATTACAGGCATGCGCTACCACGCCCGGCTGATTTTTTGATTTATTGTAGAGATGAGGTCTCGCTGCCCGGGCGGGTCTCGAACCCACGGGCTCAGGCAATCCATTCACCTCAGCCTCCCAAAGGCGCGGGATTACAGGCTGAGTCACCAAGCCCAGCAGACATCAATCTTTTAAAATAAAACTACCAACAGCTAAAATAAGATATGCACTCATGGCAGGCATAGACAATTTTAAACAAGAAAACTGTTTTGTTCACAGAAGTTTAGTGGATTAAGGTAAAAAATACATTGTTCACAAAAAATGTTTACAATTCTTCAAACTTACCGGCTTCCCTTTTCTTAGATTTCACCTTAGGTTCAACATCCACAAGTAATGTATCCAGAGGTAAACTATCTGGTAGAATAAAATATCGAATGTTATTCCCTCGAATACTCAGTGTTTCCAGCTGTACAGGTTCTCTGTTCTTCAGGGTCATTTTCACAGCTTTAAGATGTGTATTCATGCTGACATCCACACCTAAAGGGGAAAATAATCGGGCAATTAATATGATAAGAAAGGTAACCTATTAATCTATTAAGTAACAGTAAATACTGCATTACAAAAGAATACTATCTGTTCTGCTACAGTGCAAGTTTCTATGATACAATTTAACATGTGTGTAACTGGCAAAGGGGGGAGTAATGTCAGTATAAATCAGCAGTCTTTCCTTCCTATAGATTTTCCCTAGCTTATGGAAGTGAACACAGCAAACCATGCAGGAGTAGTGACTGGTACATATGCTTTATGCCATTGCCATATTCTCCTCCTGTCTCTGGTTTAACAGGTGTTCATTATATGGTTCTTGCATTGTCTCCATAACTTCTACAGAAGTGAATGCAGCAAGCCATGCAGGAATAGTGACTGGTGTTCATGCCACATTCTTCTCCTGTCTCTGGTTTGATAGGTATTTATGACATGGTTCTCCCATTGTCTCTGTAACTTCCTCACAGTCCTTCATTCCACAAAGCTATAATGGTCTTTGTTTTAAAAGTAAAATCCTACATGTACTGTAGTTTTTTCTTTGCTTACCATGAATTTGACACTTCTTTTAAACTATGCTTTAAATATATATATATATAAAGAATTGTTACTGTTTTTGTTATTACTTTGATTATAACAGACTTAATTTCTTTCTTAAGAAAGTTAAGGCCAGAAAACATGAATTCCCTCAACTTTCCCAAAATTTATCTAAAAAATTTCAGATTACGAATCCTTTCCTCCTGGTCAGAGGAAGTATTCCTCTTCTTTCCTAAAATCAATATGCCCCTGCAGCTTTCCATTTTGGGGAATCTTGATCCATGTAGAGAGGGAAAAAACAAGATTTATGAGCTCCATCTTCCAGGAGCTGCATGCTAAGGCATTTAAATTTAATTCTCAATATCCCTATGGTAGGTAGTATGATTACCCCCAATATGAAGATTAAGAGAACCTCTCTCTACCTTCCCCTGCCTCCCTTTCACCAGCCCAATGCGGGACTCTAATCTTCCCTGCCTTTCTAATTTGCATCTTAAGACCCTCAATTCAGAAGGGGTCCTGCCCCATAACCTAGGGGAAGGAATGCTGCACAGAGAGGCCAAGAAGAACCTGAACTCACCAACTTTCTACACCCTATCTGTATTAGATCATAACCTTTTTGGCCAATCACATTCCTGTATGGTTGTCACTCATGCCTAGTCAATGAAGTCTCCATGAAAGACCCAAGAGGACAGGGTTTAGAGAGCTTTTGGATAGCTGAACATGTGAAAGTTCCTGGAGAGGAGCACGCCCAGCATCATGGAAGGTATGCACTCCTCTCATTTCTCAAACAATGCATCCCTTCATCTGTATCCTTTGTAATATCCTTTATAATAAACAAACGTGTTTCCCTACAGGATGTAGTGGCTCACGCCTGTAATCCTAGCACTTTGGGAGGCGGAGGTATGAGAATTACCTGAGTTCAGGGGTTCAAGACCAGTGTGAGCAGCATGGTGAGACCTCGTCTCTATAGTAAGCCAAAAAATCAGCTGGGCATGCTGCTGCATGCCTGTGGTTCTTCCAGCTTCTTGGAAGGCTAAGGCAGAAGGATCACCTGAGTAGAACAGGTTGAAGCTGCAGTGGCCGTGAGTGTGCCATTGCATACCTGCCTGGGCAGTAGGGTGAGACTCTGACTCAAAATGTGTTTCCCTGAGTTCTGTGAGCTGCTCTAGCAAATTAAGTGAACTCAAAATGGGAGTTATGGAAACCCCAACTTGAAGCTGGTCACTCAGAAATTCCAGAGGCCCAGGCTTGTGACAAGTGTTTGCTGGGGATCAGTCTTGTGGACTGAGCTCTCAATCTGCAGGATCTGATGCTATCACCAGACAGACTGTCAGAATTCAATTGAAGGACACCCAGTTGATATTTGCTGCAGAATTGATTGCTTGATTGGTGGTGGGGAGAACACCCTGAACATTTGGTTACATAAGTCTTCTGTGTTGACTGTGGTGTTGGTGTGGGAAAAGAGGAAATATTATTTGTGTTTGCGTCTTCTATCACTAGATTTTGAGATCCTAAAAGTCAAGAACAATATTATTTCCCTCAACATCTAACGGTGCTCTAGAGAGAGCAGACTACATCATGGTATGTGGAATTTTAAAAGGACAGCACTATACCTCCTCAGATATGTTCATAGACTGTATCACAACCTTATATTCCATTTCCTGGCACAGCAGTTATTGCAAAGTTCTAATGTACCTGCAAATAATATCAGTTTAATGCTTTACATTTTTCTTGGTCAGGCTGGGTGTAGTGGCTCACGTCTGTAATCCCAGGACTTTGGGAGGCCAAAGTGGGAGGATCTTGTTGAGACAAGATTTCACTATGTTGCCCAGACGTCTCAAAGTTCGAGACCAGTCTGGGCAACATAGTGAAATTTTGTCTCAACAAACACCTTCCTCCCCCCAAAAAACCATCCAGGGGTGGTAGCACACGTCTGTAGTGCCATTGGTGAGCTGTGGGCTACAGGGTGAGATCCTGACTCAAAAAAACAAAACAAACATTTCTCTTAGTTTACTTGGATGCTGTATCTATATGTTATGAAGTTGTTTATAGGCTGGGCATAGTGGATCATGTCCATAATCCCAGTGCTTTGATGGAGGATCACTTGAGCACAGGAGTGTTGGAGCCAGCCTGGGCAACACTGCAAGACCCTGCCTCTACAAAAAAAAAATACAAGTTACCCAGGTGTGGTGGTGTATGTCTATAGTTCTAGCTCCTTGGAAGGCTGTGATGGGAGGATCACTTGAGCCCAGGAATTGAAAGTTACAGTGAACTACAATCATGCCGCCACTGTACTCCAGCCTGAATAACAGAGTGAGGCTGCCTTTATTTTAAAAAAAAAAAAAAGAGCTGGGCTTGGTGGCTCAGCCTGTAATCCCACCCTCTGGGCGGCTGATATGAGTGGATTGCCTAAGCCCGCGGGTTCGAGACCCACTTGGGCAACTTGGTGAGACCTCATCTCCACAATAAATCAAAAACTAGCTGGGCATTGTAGCGTGCGCCTGTAGTTCCAGCTACCTGGAAGGCTGAGGCGGAGGGATCGCCGGAGCCCAGCAGGTTGAGGCTGCAGTGGCCGGGAGCGGCCACTGCACTCCAGTCTGGGTGACAGAGTGAGACTCCAACTCAAAACAAAACAAAACAAAACAAAAAAAAATTAGCTGGGCGCAATGGCTCACACCTTAGCACATTTGCTGCCTCCAACTTTATCTACTTCTTTTAAAAAAATACTACAGTAGGCCGTGCGCAGTGGCTCAAGCATGTAATCCCAGCACTTTGGGAGGCAGAGGTGAGAGGATTGCCTGAGCCCATGTGTTTAAGACCAGCCTGGGCATAGTGAGACCTTGTCTCTATAATAATTTGAAAAATTAGCTGGGTGTCGTGGCGCTTGCCTATAGTTCCAGCTACTTGGAAGGCTGAGGAGGAAGGATCGCCTGAGCCTGGCAGGTCGAGGTTATGATAGCCCTGAGTGTGCCACTGCACTCCAGCATGGGTGATAGAGTAAGATTCCAACTCAAAAAAAAAAAAAGTTTATAAATTTATTAGTTAAATATTAGCTACATATTTCACAAAGTGGGAACATATGCCACGACAGACAGTATTCTCTTTCATTTAGCTCATTAATTCTTTTGAAATTTTGTAATTTTTTGTTAACATCTAATACAAGCAAAGAAGGAAAGTAGATTTTAAGTGTAAAATTAAAGCAAAAATGTAGACATATAAGAAAATACTCTGGCCACTGTCTTGCTAAATTCTGGTGTGGCCATGTGCTCTTTGGGCTATGGCTGTTGCCAAGCTTCCTGGCTGTGCTCTTCCCCACCCACCATGGGGAGGTGAATCCCCCCACCTCTCTAATTTGCTTTTAAATAAACTATATTTTCTAATCTAGGTTCTGTGCAATTTTTTGCCTCTTTTATGCGGCATCAGATAGCACCCCAGACACTAACACTCCCAGCGGGCCTGACCTAACGTTCTGGAGGCCCCGCTGAGAGACTATGACCCTAACATTTTTGGAAGTCCCACCAAGATGACCCTAACAGAAATCACCATATTTACCACCACCATCCTCATCATGATCATCATCATCATTTCAAGCAAGAAACTTGTATGAACACCAAAACAAAATGGTAAAACTTTGAAAAGTACAGTAATAGAATGCTCACATAGCCATAATGTATTTACTTGAGACTACTTGCACAGTCTACAAGTGCCTTTCTAAAGACATTTATTAATAAGAAAAATTCGAATTTTATACTAGAGAAGCCTGGCGAGCACTACCGTAACAGAGCGATGGGGGGGCCCACACCTCATCAACAAGGGTACCTGCATAATGAACATTTGTATACTTAACCCGGAATTGTACTCCACATCTTTAAAATTAAAAAGTAAAAATAAAAAAACAGAGTGATCAAAGTTAACCTCACTAGAAATGGACACATCCATGCCATGTGCCTCCTGATAAGACACAGCATTGCCTCTGTGGTTAAAGAAAAGAAAAGACTCTGAAATGCTAACAATGATTGCTTTAGTGAGTAAAATTAGTTTCCCAACCTCTTTCCATTTACTGCCTTCCTCACACATTTTTTTTTAACCCAAGATAACTGGTAATGGGAATCTCACCTTCTATCCTCAAGGACTTTACAGTCTAATAAGGAACATAAAATGCTAATGAGAGAAAAGAGTTTAAATGTACTTTAGAAGAACATTTGTGTGGATTCCAGGCAGAGGAACACACACAAAGGCATAAAAGCAGGAAAACAGGATACTTGGGGAATTTAGTTTGGTTTTAGCACAAATAGTTAAGGTGAGGCTTATACCTCACCTTAGAGGTCAATTAAATAACTCAGACAAAAATAAAAAGGATCCATGGTACAATAATGTTCATTAAGCAGTCAAAAAAGAATTCTGGTTTGCAGGTGAAGAGAAGAATAAAACCCCCAAAAGTATTACAAAAGCAGTTCAACCTCCATACCTGTGATTGTTCCATGAACCTGTGTTCCATTCTTCAATTCAATAGTTACAGTTTCATGACTCAATTTCATCAAAAACCTATAAACAGAAATAAAACCATAAATTTTCATCTTTAATACTTTAAAATCATGTTTAAGTTGAAAGGGTAAAATTTCTAGATGTTAAAAATCTGCTAGACTCTTATCTGCATCAATTCCTATTAATAATCTGAATAACAACTTTCCTCAATGATACCCTCAGTATTCATGAAGGAACATAATATTAAAACAGTTATTTGTCATTTCTGATTCTCTAAACCATCATGTTAGGTCAAAACTCCTAGTAGGGACCTCCAAAATGTTAGGAGACAGACAGACAGAGATTCACCTTCCCAAGGTAGGGGAGGCAGCTTAGAAAAACATGGCCTGGCCAGTGCATAGCAAAACAATGGCAAACAGCTGCTTAAAGTTGAATGCTTTTAAATCTTCCCTTTGGTATGGGGCAGGTTGCTAAGGTGACTGGGTGGTAGTCTGTTCCATGTCACCAGTAGAGGACAGGTTAAGCACAGGTACTGAAGTCAGGTGATTGTGGGCTAGTCACATGACTGTTGTCATGGTGATAGGGTTAGTGTCAGAAAAGTCAAGAGGGATTGATTAGTTTAATTTGTTTCTTATGTAAATGCTTGGAACAGAAAAGCTAACTAGTACAAAACAAGCTGGGGAGGAGGACTGTAAAATAATTATCAAGCCAGGCTTGGTGGCTCAGCCTATAATCCCGCACTTTGGGAGACTGAGGTGAGTGGACTTTGCCTGAGCCCACGGGTTCGAGACCTGCCTGGGCAACTTGGCAAGACCTCATCTCTACAATAAATCAAAATGACCCGGGTGTGGTAGCAAGCACCTGTAGTTCCAGCTACTTGGAAGGCTGAGGCGAAAGGATCACCGGAGCCCAGCAGGTCAAGGCTGTGGTGGCCGGGAGCGGCC